TTATTCCTTGCCTCAAGACTCTCCGTAGAATCCTTCACTAAAAGCCTGTATATTTCTGAGTTATTTAAATTAAACAATCTTTTTTTCTGTATAACTTAACCTATCCATGATGACCACTGCACAACCTTATCTGCCTTCAAAACAAACAGATCATTCTGGTACAAATATTTAGAAACCTCATTTAAATCATAAGATTTTTTTGGAATAATTACCAGGTCAAAATAACGGATCACTTTTTTTTCTATACTGTTCTCGGTCTCTTCTGGCAGCTTGTCTGTTAAGTTAATTAACTCAATCAGTATCTCCAAATAATGATTTTGCTTAGTTGGAAATGCAAAGTTTAGACCCCTTTCCAAGAGGAGCGTAACATTAGCATCTTTAGGTACACTGGATAAATTAATGACTTTATTTTTCTAAAAAAATAGTACTAAGCTTGAATACCTCTTTATTGCTTCGACTCTTACTTGAGCTGATGTTGATGCCTAAATCCATTAATATCTTATCATGTCTGGATCTATGAATCTTATCCATCCTATCCGCCAAACTATTTGCCATTTTCTGCAATTAGAAAGTTTTCACGAGAAAATAGCAGATAAAGGAATTGTCTAGTCCTTGTTTTAATTTTAATTAGGTCATGCAATTTGTTCATACTTTCTTTGAGTTTAATCTTATATAAACCACCTGATACATGCTCCAGTTTCCTATTAGTGCAAATAGGTAAATCTGGACGTTTGCCTAGAATAAAACATATAGTAACTGCATTGTGTGAAATAGAAATTTTTAAAAATCTAATGGTATTGACTTGCCGGCATATATAGCCGAAAGAAAGTTGATAAGAATTTATAGCATACGTACGTAGTATATGCGAAGAAAAGTTGAGTTTCGAGGATCCTTTTGTTTCATAATTGTTGAGCTTAATTCAATTTCTTTGAAAGTGATTCGAAGTTTGAAGGCTGGTTGTAAGGATGATGCCCTGGTCTGATGATGTTCGTTTTAGTACGGACGAAGGCTTAGCACGTTTCCACCGGAATCGAAGGAGATTACCTCGGAAACAGCGTTAACAAGAATGTTCTCGTAGAGCCAATCAGCAACTGGTAAAGAGGAATTCTCCGTCGTCTTCTTGTGGAATCGACCTTCGAATCTCTTCACCAAACACATTCGCTCGAAGTAAGCTCAATAATTTCTTATCTTGTTGGAGTACCTTACATTCATTCCTTATCTTCTTCCTTGCGATCCATTTTCCTCTGGTTAACGCTCATCTTTGGTTCAGGCATCTACTTTTTGCTGATCTTGCCGTTTTCCCGTTAACGGCCCTCTTTTGATCCTCTCCGCCTCCAGCATATCAGCTTCCCTATTCAAGGTTTTTAGCAGGGCTGTGAGTATCTTTCCTCCCGGTATCTTTGTATACATGTTTTGTACTTCATTGCAGAGCCAATACTTATCAAAATACATTGAAAGGGTCTCTGGTTATCCCTTTACTTATGGAAGGTTGCAGGCATTAATATTATATAATTTTGAAAATTGATATATATTTGCTGGGTTATCGGGCGAATTTGCAATATCTTGTCTGAGAGCAAACGCACACAAAGCTTTGCAATTTTCCTGGGCTTTTATAAACTGGAATAAATTAAAACTGTAGCTCGATTCACTCGCCTTGTTATACTCGGGATGTGGTAGAGTTGCCTGGCATGACTATTTAATTGGAAGCCCTAAATGTCTTAATGTTCTTAATTAAAATTAAAATCAATTTAAATTCATAAATCCTACTTTGGAGAGGACCAGGTCAGTCTTCAAACCCGAAAATAGGTTTGGATAGTGGTATTGCGATTATTAACAATTCCTTGCAATCACTCTTCTATTTATGTTGGATTATTTTTTAAATTTCTGATCAGCTAACTTTGGTGCCAACCGTCTCCGAAGCAGTTAGCAGCTGTGGTCTGACAAAATATTCTGTGGAGATCGAGGAATGGTGTGAGCCATTTGAGCACAAATCTGGCTCTTCCAAGGTGGTAGCGACTGAAATACAGTTACAACAAACAACAAATCACAGCCTTTCACGATACGACGTCGTCTTTGATCCAATAGACCGGATACTGCATCTTTTTAACTCTTCAGACGATGACTGTAATCAATGGCAATTTCGGTTGCCGCTACCTCGATTCAGTGAAAAACTGGACGGCAGCGCATCTATTCTTGACGCGGACACAGGCTCCGTAGGCATGAGTCTTCTTGGCGTAGCACCAATGCCAGGTGTTGTGGAACGTCTTATGGTCCAGCCAGGTGACGAAGTGATTGCAGGACAAGCCTTAGTTACTCTGATTGCAATGAAGATGGAATACATCGTGCGTGCTAGCACTCCTAGTCGTGTTGTCCGCCTTGATGTAGTTGAGGGAGAGACCGTAGCTAAAGGACATATATTGGTACATCTGGAGCCTATAGAACCCACTAAGCAGTCAGTCAGCTAAATTGATATCTCCGATTTTCCACCTCGATTTCTGATCAACTTTAAATGTCTCAATTGTCCAGGTTACTAGTTTCATTTTTGAGTAACCCGTTTTACTTTTAGAATTTCGATTCCCTTTTACCTCACTTTATCCTACTTACTGTACCATGGTGATTTCTTCTCTTGATATATGTTCATCATTTCCACCTCTATTGACAAGAGTAATGAAATATTTTTGACAGACTTGAGGACTTACTTCTTTTATTTATAGCCTTCCGTTTTCAACATGGCTGTACTGCTTGTCTATTGTCTTCCCTAATAGTTTAATAATTTTGCTTCACTCACTGAGACAACTTTTGATACCATAGCACATCGAAACCATTTATTTGGTTCATTTATGTATGCTATGCATATATTAACGCCTATCCTGCTTCTTTAAAATAGTTTTTCTATCTCTCTCTCTCTTTCTAGCTTACAGATTGCAATAAATAGATGCCTTGCCAGAAGCATGTATAAATAGTGACACTTATGCTCTAGCGATTTTCCTTCTTATCTTTTTACATTTTTACATTTTTTGATACTATTGAATCTATTCTATACTTTTTTATATTCATCTACGATGTTCATCCTTCCTTTCCTTTGGTCCAGATGAAATTATTATCTTTGCCATTCTAGTCTATATTTTGCATATGCATAGAGCGTAGCTAGCCGTGCGTTCTTTTATGGCACCCTGCCAAAATCGTTGCCAGCTCATTTAGAACAAATATCTGATTATCTTTATCTTTTTATCTTTTTGTTTTATATGATTTTATACATGTTTTATACTAATTAACTTAGCCTAAAGTGCCAAATATGTTCCATTCCTTAGATGATTTCCACAGAAATATATGCCATTTACAATAACTTTCTTTTCCCTATTATTTTATGATGCATTCTAATGCTTTTTTTAACTTCAAAAATATCCTGCGATAGGGTTTCAGGTTAATTATGCTGGACTTCACCATAAGAGTTTTATTTATTCTCTTTTGTCCTGAGCATCTGCTCTTCTGCATGCTCCCATTCATACTATTGAAAAAAATCTTACTTCATATATAAGCCGAAAAATGCATCTTGTATCAACAGCTAGAAAGTTACTATAAGTTTTATCCATTTTTTCGGTTTGGTGCTTTGGTCACTTAAATTAATGCTACTATTCAATTTGTCTTAACCATAGAGATTTATATTTATGGTGAGTATATTTCGAAAATCTCAGGAGATTTTGATTAATGGCTATAGTCGCCATAGGTCGTTCAAGGCGACGTGAAGACTGATAGTTTACTTTCCCAAAACGAAATGGGTGTGCTTTGCAAAGCCATCTCAGTTCATCGAGCATTTTATTCTTATTGTACTTTTGAGAAAATAGGCCTAGTGAGCTTCAGTTTCATCGTGAGGCCTACTTATTTCACTACCGAAAATGCCACTATCCGTCCTCGCATCACCGTAAGAGACTTGTGGTGATTAAAATTCGTATTCATGATCTTTTGATGGTAACAAAATATACTCATCATGACTATCAACCGCTTTACTTGAGACTAAATAGATGGGTAGCATTACCACTATCATGGATGGTCTAAGATGACCAAAAGCCTTATTATGAAGGATAATCTTTTTGAGGGACCGCGGAATTTCATGTATCTAATCTACCTTGCTTTTGTTGTTAGATACCGTTAGTTGGAATATACGCGATGAATTGTAGTGAAAGTTTTGCATTGAATATCAATTGCTGTCTTCTTATCCATCTGTATTATTTCATCCGGTTTCGACTTCGTGTTTCCATGCTGCCGTTCGGTGTTCCATTTTTTCGTATGCCAGTTCAATGTCTTGTGTATTCGGCTAATGAGGTATTCTAGTCGACTGCTTGGCCCAAGAGCTTAACTGAGAGTAGGAGGGGATGGGCTCTCTGGCCTAAAATAAGCCTAGGTTATTGAACTCGTGTTTTAGCTTGATATCATTTCCCTATCCAAAAAAGAACCATTGAGACTGATAATCAACGAAAATCACAGAAAAATACATAAATTAGCAGAATTTATCTGCCTCAGTTTAAAGAAAGTCATTGAGAGATTATCGAGTTCAAGAAATAACTTTACTAATTTTACCTTGGAATCAACGGCATCGGTTTGGAGGGAAGCGAACTTTTGGTGAGCTTTGATGTATGCTCCATGCACACCAATATCTCGGGAGAAAAAGCACTCACTGCACTGCTGGAGATCTTGGAAAAAGAAATGATCTCCTGGAGGTGGAGCGAATAAGAAAAAAGCCTTCAACCCAATTAATCAACTTAACATTAAGAACTACCTATTTTACGTTCAACGGCCACATCTATAAGCAAATATTTGGTCTGTCTATGGGCTCACCACTTATCTCTGTTTGCTTACATGGACAAGTTGGGTGAGAATTTCAAAGCTTTATCTCAGCAGCCAACAGTAACTATGCGCTATTTGGGTGACTGCTTAGCACCCAGTCGCATGATAAAGGAAAGTTTCAAAGACCTGAACAAAAAATTGAAATTTACAATGGATGCAACCCTGGTTGAATTGATGAGATATAAACCTGTACGCGAGAGAGAAATAGTTACATCATTACGGCTACGGAGAAAACATGATTTATGAACTAAATTATGGGAAATACAACTTCTTAAAATTTAAATATATTGACAACTTTCACCCGTACATGTTTTCATCTTATTAATACAACCAGGGTTTCTTATGAATCTCGGTCATCTTTTTTTCCTTGGGCCATTATGCCTTGATGATCCGGAGCTGGCTTTAACCTTTTTCCTAATTACTCTGGTTTATGGCAAGTCTTGTGTACATACGTTGAAATACATACATACTCAAGTATGCGTCAATTAAACCGTTTTATATCCATAGATATCTTAAATTTTTCTCACAATGAGACTATGTATCATATAGAAAAAAATGTCGGTTAGTCTTCTTGATCTGATATTAACTTGAGGCTTTTGCAAGAATGAGTCCCAGTTATGACCATGTTCGTTTTGTGGCATGACGAACGAAAGCTCAGCCCATATTCGTCCGAAACGTTGGAGGATGTCTCGTGGACTGTATCAACCTGAACGTCGTAGTAAAGCCAAGCGGCTGCAGTACAGGTTGAATCAGCCGGCGTCTTTGGTGAGATTGACATACAAATCTCTTCATCATGTATTTCCATATGAAATGAAAGTCTTCACAACGATTTCATCGCCTTAAACGAAATACGGTGAATACATCTCATACCTGATTTTCCTCTTGATGCTTGATGCCCAGGCATATATCATGCAAGTTTGGAGATGGGTCTCTTCATACTGCGGCCACAGCAAATATAACAACGTTGGACGTGGGCTAAATTCTAATGTGAGACTGCATGCGAATTAGGCAGGATACCCAAACCGGATTGAGATAGAGTAAGTCCTCTATTCGCTCACAGCAGGGATCCATATGTAATCGAATTTAAGAGAGATTTACTCATAGGCAAATGATGCACACACTCCTCTTTTGACCATGGGTTAACCAGATCTCTGAGTGGATTCTTGAGGATTACACTTTGACAGCAAAGATTGGCCATGAAAGATGAGCCCCTTTGAGACTGTGACCTGAGTGTACAATTACCGACCACGGCCAAATTTCGTCCCAGCTGATCCCACTTTATAGCTCATCAGGACAAAACTCAAGAATATGTCTCGAGCAAACTATTTACAGAAATAGTATAAATCTGTCGACCAAAATGTGTAAACTATAAACCATATAAACCCTTTATTACAAACTTCATTATTCGAATACACAAGCAATGACAATTAGCTTGTAGACATGGAGACCAAGACGGTGTCACCTTTGGTTTAGTCGCTGTCTCCTTTAGACCTATAGTGTTGGTTTGACCTCCTTTTCGTAAGTTACTCGGGGCAACGGGAAGAAATTGTGGAACGTACCTTTTCCTGCGTCCTCTCCCACAGTATTGTTAATTTCCAGCATTGGTACATTGCAAAACGTTTCGCCGGTATCGTCAGTTAGAGGCGCCATCGTTAACACAGAGTTACAATTTATCAGTGACATATGAAAGCAATCTCTTCGACCAATTTTATGTTCAACCCTCGTGGCATCACTCCTCACCACTAGTCTTAGCCCCACCTCTTCACTCCGCTTGTAAATTGGTCCTTGCTACAGATCAAAGTCACTGTCTGGTTGTGTATGAGCCTTCAATCCTCGTCCACGTTTACGTGATATTCCATGATTTAGAGCCGGTGATGCTCTCTCCCTGGACTTCAGACCCATAACCCAGTTATCCTCTTTCTCATCTCCACTTACCTCGCATCTCATTCTTTGGGGCCCTGTGTCCGGCTTAATTTGGAAACGCTGGTGTGAAAATCTACCGCTTCCCTTTAACCACTCCTGAATCACACTAAGCACACTCCTCTTGTCTCTCAAATTGTCAGTGCCACCTAATCCTAGGGTTTTAGTCATTTGTTCATCTGTACTTTGGTTGGTATCCCTCTTTTTTTTTGGTCAGGCATATCATCATCCACCTCATTAAGGCACACACCCGAAAATGCCTACAAGCACAGACAGACACACACACACACACACTGGGGACCTGTCTCTATTCCTTCCTTTTTAACTATTTTCTTGCTCAACCTAGAACAGTCGTATTTGTTAGCTGCATAAAATTTCTATCGCAAGAAAACTTAAAAGCGTACTTTTAATAATGTTCGCATAACTTTTGACTTTGTTTGAAGAAGTGAGTAGATAGGATTCTTAGGTTGGCCTCACCGGAAGCTAAAGGGTCATTGCCTCGGAGCTGTGACTGGATTTGTGCGAATCAGTCCCGCGAACCCCGAATAATCCTTGCTGAGATATCGGTTGCATTATTTATGAGAATTCACCAAAACACGAACAAAAAAAGGTGATCCGTCAATCTTACTTACTTCTTATAGCCTAACGTTGTCTACTTAAGATTTGGTTGGCTATTCTATGCTTTTCATACTTGCTTAAAAGCAGAGTGGCTGCGGATGGATTTAATCGTTTCGAGACTACCAGTAAATGAGTAATATGAGATGTATTCACCCTATTCCGTTTAAGGTAATGAAGGATTGGTAGTAGAATTTTCCCACTATGATATGAGTAGAGCTGATGTCTCCATTGAATTTCACATAGCCTTGTTTTCTTAAAAATAGTTCTCATTTAGGGTGGACTGCAGTTTCGACCTCGCATAGGTCTTATCAACAAATCATTAAACTGATTTACTGGTAGCCCCAAGACTACTTATATACGAAAAATAAGTAATGTAAGGTATGAAGACCAAGATAGTGTGCCCTTTTGTGTGGTCGCAGTCTCCTTTCGTTGTATAGAATTTGTTTGACCTTGTTTTCACAACTTAGTCATATTGATAGGAAGACTTAGATGAACGCACCTTGTCCGGAGTCCATTGTATGCATAATCATTTCCAAAGTCTGACCGTTGACGTGGTACATTACCAGACGCTTCGCCGGCATCGTAGTCGGCATCGTCAATGAGTTTTGCCATTCGTAGCACCACACAACAACTCGTAAAAGAGACAAGTTCTAAACAGTTATGGTATCTCCCATTCTGCCCTAAGCTATTCACATTTCCTATATCCTCCAATCACGCCTTCAATGTCACAATTTTTTTACTTGCTCAATTAAATGTGGTACGGTGTGCCCTTTTGAGCGGGTTTCATTAGAACCCTCCGCACTCCACGCTGGCCTTCTCACCGCCCTTCATCCTTGTTCTGGGAATGTTGATCAGAGTCTTCCTT